TAAACTTTATTAAATGCAGTATTTTTAATTAATTCTACATAAATTTTTATATTAGATTCAATTAAAATAAAAAATAAAAAATAAAATATAATATTGATATTTAAAATCTATAAAAATATATGAATCTGATATAACAATTTGTACAAAATTAATTATAAATTCTATAATTAATAAAACTTAATCTGTACTCGAATGGCACATGTTAAATAAACCCAATTATAAAAGAATTTTTTTATCATGTATTTTTAAGATACAGATTAAGTAATTAACGTATTTTTTTATTATTAAGTTACATAAAAAAATAAAATTTGACTTTAATTTTAATAACTAATTAATTAAATTAAAATATGTGACATTGATACTAAAATTAATATCAAAATTTTTTATTTTTTTTTTATATAAATTAATGACTAAAAAAATGTATTAATTACATTGTTTAACCTGCACGCTAAGAAAAATCCTTTATAAAATCTTGCAATTCAGTCTTGTTCTTTCCTATTGAAACGCGACCTTTTAAGCTAGATAAATAAATAAAACACGAACAAAACAAACCTTGAAAGCCAGACTCAAATAAACAAAACCTCAATGTTGTAAAACCAAAATCGCAGCCGCCATTGACACTTCTTCTCCAATTAGCAATGGTAGAAATCCAACCCCAATAGCAGACAACTATGATCTCTAAAACCTTTCCAATTAAGCTGAAGCTCAAACCAAAACCTAGGACCCAAATCCAGACGCTGAAATCTAAGTACTCGTGTTCTTTCAAGTCAACACAAATCACCAACCTCATCCCCTCGATCCCCTCCGTCTCATTTCTCCTTCTGCTCCTCACGTCTTTGCCGCCGCCCACTAGACCTTATTGTTCTTCTACTCTCTTCTTTCCCTCTCGGACCTTGATGTTGCTGCCTCTTCCTCTATCTCCTTCTCGGATGTGGTTTCTTCTCTCTCCTTCCGTTGCAACATACTACTCCCGGCCGCCAACAATCTTTCAAGTTTAGTGCAGGTATTCGATGTTAAAACTCGTGCCCCACTTCGTCATCTCCAGTCCCACACCCGTCCTGTTCATTTTTTGCGCTACCCTGTTCTTGATAAGCTCCATTTGGTGTCTAGCAGTGATGATACAATCGTAAGTACTGGGATGTGGCCGGGGAAAGTGGTTCTGGATTTGGTGGGTCATAAGGATTATGTGAGGTGTGGGGACTGTAGCCTTGGTAATGGTGATATGTTTGTTACGGGTTCTTACGATTATACTATGAAGGTTTGGGATGTGAGAGTGGAGAATTCAAGGTCTATTTTGGAGGTGAACCATGGCAACCTGTGGAGGATGTGATTTATCTGCCTTTTGGTGGGTTGATTGCAACTACTGGAGGCAATTCTGTGAAGATATGGGATTTGATTGGAGGAGGGGGGATGGTGTACTGAATGGAGAGTCACAAGAAGGGTGAGGGTCACAATGCATGGGTGGCAAAAAAAAGATTAAAAAAGACCCAAACATAATGACCGTTTGCACTTAAACGGTCAACAAGCAGTGTTGTTAACCTAAATTGGACAAAGGGATGACATTGATATGGTTTTGAATTGTAGAGGGAGGACATGAGGTAAATCGATAATAGAAGGTTTAAATTGCACTATTTTTTATAGTAGAAGGACGATAGTTGGCATTAACCCGAAACCACCCATTTGTACTCATGCTTTTCATTGGAAGATTTTAATACTGAACTAAAAGCTATGCTGTAAGCTAACCCAACTGCCGTTTGAAAGTCCTTTAGCTTGGACTTGATCCATAGTCAAGTTTTTGGAATGACAAATACCCTATTTTGTTTGTTTCTATATTTTTTTTTTTTGGTATATCTTTTATTATGATATATTGCATAAGAAAAAGTAAAAATTAAGATATATTGATATTTAAAATATCATAAATACTTATAAAATTATTTAAATACTTTTAATAAATTTTTATTATGTATTAATATATTAAGTATACTTAAATTTTATTATTATTTTTTTTAATATTTTAATTGCAAGAAAGAAATGATTTTTAATAATACCTGCCATGTATAAGAATAACCTTCATATTTATCAATTTCTTCTTCTTTATTTGAAAGTTCAAACTTCCTAGCTCTAATCTCAAATTTTAAATTTTAACTGTTGAGATAGGGGAATTTTCATACTATCAATAGATATATAGATTAAGAATATATTGAGCCCTTTTGGACCAAAAAAAAAAAAAAAACATTAAGCCCATTCCTGATTTTATTTTTTTTAGATAAATGAAAATTAGGATGTATTAATATTAAAAATGTCAAATTATTTAATTCTAATAATGTAATGAATGAGATTACGGTTAAACTTATGTTATACTTAATTCATCACGTGATTTTGATTGAATGTCATAATATATTTAATATTATGGCATCTTAACTTTTCACATCTTCTTTTTCTTTAATGAATCTTCTATTACTACCAAAGAAAACAAAGAGAATACTATTTTGGTCATATTACAGATTTTATAATAATTAATAATAAAGAATTACTTTAATATTAAAAAATTTATCTCTTATTAATAATAATAAAATATACAATTCACACAAAATAAAATGGTACATAACTCATCTAAAAAGTAAATCATTGTAAAAAATGCTCTAGAAATTGGATATTCCTTATAAAGGAAATAAGAATTCAAAAGTAATAACCATAAAAGAACGGCCTCATCCAATGAATCTTATGTGATATAGAACCTTCCCAATTCCCACTTGGAGACCGGAGAGTAGATAATTGCTTCAGTATTTCGTTCACCAATTTTTCTTGTTAAATTGTGGAGTTGAAAACAAAAAATAAAACAAAACAAAAAAAACAAAACAAACTTAATAATTAACGTAAGATTGGATACACACTGTGGATGGAGGTTGTCAACATTCATCCCATCTACCATTAAATAATTTGACGCAGCATTTGTCAGTATGCAGCGGCCGCTCATGAGCCTTGTCTCCAATCAAACAAATCTGAGTATCCAATAAGACTTGGCCCTTGCTCTTTACCCTCTACCACACTGGGGGAAAAGGAGCAGAAACCGCACCAACTGTGTTCTGACCCATATCTCCATTGTTGAGATTTTCGTGTAAATGAAGAAGGGTTCTGTTTCTTTGAACAATCTGGGTACATTTCCGAGCCCAGGAGCGCCAAGTTACAGGGACAGCAGTGCGGTGGCGCAGAAGGGGTGGAGCTCAGAGCGAGTGCCGCATCCGGGATATAGCAGGGGAAGTAGCAGGAGACATATCAGTGCTTCGTCTCTGACGCCGTTTTATAGTGGAAGGACGTTGCCTTCTAAATGGGAAGATGCGGAGAGGTGGATTTGTAGTCCGGTTTTGGGTTATGGGGTTAGCAAGAACGCTCATTATCAGCTTCAGAGGCGACCCAAGTCCAAGAGTGGGCCGATTGTGCCTCCTGGAATTGCGTTTAATTCCAATTGCTCACCGACTTCAATGCAGGTGGTGCCTGATGCTGGTGGGGGAAGTGTGAAGAGTTTGGTGGTGGGGTCTCCTTTTTCCACCGGGGTTTTGATGCCTGAAGGGGTTTCTGTTCTTTATGGTGTCAGCGGTGGCGGTGGCAATAATGGTGGACAATCTTGTTTTGTGCAGAATGAGAGTCATGTAAATGCGGCGCGATCGTCCAGTCTACTTGAATGGTCGGACTTGGTGAGTGAATCTTCGTTGCTCAGGCCCCGAGGTACAGCTCTCTTTTCATCTTTTTAACAACATTTTTGAGATTGGGTTGGTGTATTTATTGGTTGATCTTACATCAGAGTTGTTTTAATTTGTGATCCACCAAAGAAGTAGAACTCATAATTCCAACAGACATGATTTCATACACAATTCCTATTTTCTGCAATCACATGCAACAGGAACATCTGTTTAGGCAAATGGAGTAATTTGTTGGTCCAAGATCATGGGACTAGTTGAACACTTTTCATGTCAAACGAGTAAATGCCTGAAATCAATCATATTCTTTTCAATCATCTAGGACAGAATTACAGGAGTTTCAATTGACAACCATAATATGTACTGAAACGGCCCCACAGTCTCTGAGCTCTATACAAGAGGTTTGATATTTGATAATTGTGTAGAACAAACATAATAGGTGAATAGCAATGTTGTCCTCAGTTGGAATTTTAACAACCTTTCATCTGTAAGGTAGTATAGACTTCATTTAGGTGCTTCATAAGACATACTGTTCATAATCAATGCTGGCTATATTATGAATGGCATCTGGCTGATGCCTGATTGATTCATGTGTACATGTACAGCTTTTTCTTATGTTGGCTTCTTGCTGTTGAATCCAATTTACAGATGAAAACCTTGAGGAAATAAAGGATACAGAAACAATAATTTCTCATATGGTTTCACAAAGGGATATGGCAACACAAATGAGTTCTGAGAGTAGTAGCTGCCACTCATCTCCCAAAGAGAGGTCTTCAGTTTGCCCCTCTCCTCCCTCTATCCTTCCAAGTGTGGAGCAGAATGACCATCCTTCTAAGTTGGAAGTCAGGGAAGTGCAGGTTGACAAACGGGTCACCATGACTAACTGGTCCAAAAGACATGGATCCAGAATAATAAAGAAAGACCTGCCTGATGTGGAGGACCTCTATCATACTGATGGTGTTGCTTCTGCTTCATCTTTTGATATATCGGTGGCAGCAACAGGCGTTTCAAAGTAAGTTTAGTGCACATTTGTGAGTTCCTCTCCTGCATCTTTCATCCAAAAATGGAAGTTGCAGAACACATATCATTTCAGATTCAAAGTACAAAATCTTGAAATTAGTAACACTTTTTTGTGCGGGTTCATGGTAACTATTGTGGCTTTCAAAATTATGGACATAAGATGCATTCTCCTATACATAGGATGGGAGTTGTTTAAAAGATAATTAGGGCAGAATTTTAGTCGTACCAATGCAATGAAATACCTTGGATGCTCTTCGAAATTTAAAAGTTTTCAATACTGGGATAAAGTTGTGACAAGATTAGACTTCTGTTCTGAAGTGAAGCAGTTGGACAGAAGTTTGCTGAGTTTAGTTGAAAGTGAACTCAAAAAGTGCCCAAAAATAAAAAACCTTTCTCTAAGGAAACTTTGACTGCTTTTGCAGAATGCAGAGAGAGGAAGCAAAGATCTCAGCTTGGGAAAATTTGCAGAGGGCTAAAGCTCAGGCAGCCATTCAAAAACTCGAGGTTCATTCTATTGACAACCACATGATATTATGATTTCATCTTTCAAATAGACCATGCCTTCTGCAAATCCATCTTGCCATTTTTATTTTTTCCCTTTTGTATGAGATCATAGTTCTTCAATACCAGCCGTTTCCCTTTTTATGATGTTTTCTTCCTTTTTATCAGTACTCACTTGGTTAGGAACAGGAAAATTTGATGCATTGCCTTTTACCGGCAGGTGAAACTGGAAAAGAAGAGATCGGCATCAATGGATAAGATCCTGAACAAGCTGAGAATGGCTCAGATGAAAGCCGAGGATATGAGAAGCTCAATTTCAGTAGAGCAGGAACAACAAATTTCAAGGAAAGCCCACAAGGTCACATTCCTTAATAGGCTTCCCAGCATCAGTTCCCTGAACTGCTTCACCTGTCCTGCTCACTAGTTTCATGTAGCCTTCCATGCACTTAATCGTTTTCATCCAGGAATACCCCAATCCTGGATTCATTCCAAAATTTTGTCTATGCAAGCTTCTAAATATAATATATCTCATGTATGATATCTCCTATGTATAATGTTTTTTGAGTCTTGGATCCACACAGTAGCTGCACCGCTGTTTTGAGGGTTTATGTAAGTTAAATTTGCACTAATCGTCGCGCCACAACCTTTTTTCCACTCTTTTTCTTAATACCCAAGTCATCATAGCGGCTTGATCATCAAAACATAATCTGGATCTGAAGAAGCCATGCCACACTCAATGCAAGTACAAAAAAAAAAAAAAAAAAAAAAAAAAAAAGGGGGTAATTACAAAACTAAATT